CTTGAGACTATCTGGAGGAAGCGCTTTCTTGGCAGGTGAACTGCAAGAGCACTGGCAGTTCTGGTGGTAGAAAGCTTCAGATACCTATGTGGCACTGTTTAGTGGGCAGCCAGACATACAGGAACTAGAGTTCAATGAGGAGTCCATGCTAGAGACATAAATTTGGGACTGAGCAGCATACAGAAGGTGCTGAAAGTCACGACAGGGGATGAAATCACCCAGGTAGTAAGTACAGATGAGCACAGAAGAGGTTGAAGGATGAAAATGAAGCCACAGTCACATCAACATTTACAAGCTGGGCAGATGAAGAGGACCTAGCACGAAAGAATAAAATGGCCAAAAAGGCAGGAGTAAAATCAGGCAATTTCAATGCTCTGGAAACTAAGTGAACAAAGATGTTTTTAATATGTCAAATGCTGCAGTTAGGCCAAATAAGCAAAAGACTGAGAAAGAGCAATTAAATTCTACAGCAAGGAACAGCGAGGGCAAAAACCTGACTAGTCTGGGTTCAGCAGGGTGGGAAAGACACTGGAAAAGGCTATGTCAGAGAATTCTGCTCTAAAAGGAAGAAAGAATGGAGCAGTAAGCAGACAAAGAATGGGAGGGAGAAGGCTTTTTTTAAGATGAGATAATATGTCTATGGCACTGGGAGTGATCTAGCAAAGAAGGCCAAATGGCAATGCTGACTCACCCAAATCCTGGTGATCAAGAGCAGATGCTCAGCAGACAGCAGCAGAGTGTGGCCAGTCACCGCGTGGTGTCTCTAATAAGCTCCACTGCTTGACCAGATTTAAGTAGGTAACTTTTTTTCACTTTCAATTATTTACCACCAAAGTTATCGGGGCATTCTTAAAATGCTTCAGTGAGACGTACAAAACCAAAATATAGCTTAAAATATAATAAGGAAACTTTAAGATGGTTTCCTAAACAGGGATCTAAAAACTGTTGAGGGCTTAACTCCGGGATCCATCAGTTCTATCATTTCTTTAACTTAAAATTTTCATTTTAATAATCATCTAAAAATCAGTTTAACATTTAACACTTCTATATAGTCAATTTGATCTTGGACTGTCTTAGCTACCAGACAGTTCGCTGGTTCTTTAGATTTTTACATTCTCATTTAATAGGGAAAAATGTCCCAAATTTCTGAATGGAATGTAAAAAAAGTTGATAAAGAAATTGAAGCCAAAAGATAAAAACAAACAAAACCTTAAGCTGCAATGTTGATCCAACAAAAAGCCAAAATAGGTGTCAGGGAAACTGCTGGAAAAGTAGTAGTGTCCCTAGTACAAAAGGGTAAAGTGATAATGTACTACAAAACTCTTAAAAGATTTATTCTGGATATGACTTCTTACTAGTGAGAATTTCTGGAATAAAAGTAAAATAGATGACTGCTCTATGCAATGTAATGATTCAGCAGTAAAAAATTACTGAAATATACACAACATGGATGAACCTCAAAAACATGCCAAAAGAGAGCAGCCAGGCTCAAAAGGGCACATACTATATAAGCCCATTAACAGGAAATGTCCCAAGACCGAAAGAAGATTCAAGATTGCCTAGAATGGAGAAGAGAAAGGAGTGACTCTAATGGGCTCAGGATTTCTTTTTCAGATAATGAAAATGTTATAAAATTAAATCACGGTGCTGGCTACACACCTTTGTAAATAATACTAAAAGTCATTAATCTATACATTTAAAATAGGTGACTTTTATGGTATGTATGTTACATCTTTTAAAAGCTGCTTAAAAAGATGATTTCTGCCCAGGGCTTCACACATACCATACATACACACCATAAAAGAGTAAGAAGTGTGTTTTAAATCCACAGAATTTAAAAACAAGAAATCAACTGACAATTCTCCAGCTTAATATATCAGAAAAACAGTTTCAAAAAATACTGCCAAAATGACAGTTATCAGAATATTCTTAGTAAGCTACTTTTGAAAGGGGTCAAGAATAAAATCCTTCCAGGATTCCTATTAATATATTTCAGTCTACTTCCTTCTTTTATATCTTGAAGTTTTAAACCTCAGGTATGTGAACATATAAAAGTCCCTTTGCTTAGTATCCTATCCCTTACATTTTTGAATATTTAACCAGGAGCAAACTAGACAGGAAAAAAGTTAGCCTTAAGTTTAGTTAAGTGTGTGCTACCTCCCATAATTTACTGCTTAGACTTCTTTTTATTTCCTACCTGAATATTAGAACATTTTTATTAACTCAATTTTTGCTCTATCACATAGTACATGTTTCTGTACTATTAGAGTCACCTTACATAAAAAAGAAATAAATGATGGACTGGGAAAAACAACCTTCGTGCCCAAAACACCACTAATAACAGAGGATCGAGCAGGGAAAAATCCCAAGAATTATATGCAACTCATGTAAAACAGAACAAACTCATGTTAACTCATTTTTATTAGTAAAACCATGTAGTTCAGTTGCACCCAGAGCAACATATGAAGAAAAACTAGCACGAACACATAAAATGGACTCTCCGTTGTAATGGAATGAGGAAGAAAATAAGGATGTGGTTATGAACACCACTCACTCAGTGAAATGAGGAAGTAGCAATGTTATATTTGTATTTTATGATCCCTAACAAACAAGTATTTTCCCTTTCCCTTTATCTAGCTTAATATTTGCCTTCCCCCCTCACTACATCTAATCTGGCATCAGAAAACAAACATGATCTACCATAATCTACCCTTTCTTTTCCTTTAATAGCACATTTTTGTAAGAAAATGGCAGACTTTAGCTGTTTCCACTACTAACACTATCAATTGTGAAAATCCTACTGATGACTGAATAAATCAGTATAATCCTCCTCCAACAAACTATAGTGGCATCTATTTCCTCCTATTCATCCAAAAATTATTTCCTGGTTAACCCTCTGCTAACTCAGTTTACCTTTTTATTCTACATCTGCATATAACTCAAGTACTAACTACCTGTATGGTGCTTTGCTAAGACCTGTACGGTTGCAGTATTTGTTTCTTCAAAACATTAGAAACTACTTAATCATAAAATCAAGATACTCTAAGTTTTTTTTATACAAAGTTAAAAGCATTGGACAGTGCCAATGCTTGGTTCATTTGCTCCCTGGAAACATGATACAAGTTCCAAAATTAATGTACTCATTCATAAAGTAATTCAATTGTCTCTTCATCATTTGATTCATGTATTAATCACACACTGACAGAGGACCTGCTGGGCAAACTCTACAATCACTCTCCTGCTCAAAAACTACGCGTGACTCCTCATTGCTTACCAAACTTCTTAGTAAGACTTTTAAAAACAGTTTCTCATACATCCGTATTCCAGGTCCTCCCAAACATTCCTCATGCTTTGCCTACACAATGCCCTCAGTCAGGAAAGCTGTCTACACTGCAGTCAGCATCCCCATACCGCCAGTTCTCCATATCAATTATTTGATGACCATGGTGTCCTGACACCGTTACGAGAGGGTCCTGTAGATAAAGAATTTCTAGTTTGAATATGTGAACAAAGTTTTAGCTCCCATCAGTTACAACCACCACCAACTCAGCTTAATAGGAAGATACTGACCTGGAAACAAATAACTGCAACACTATTAAGTGGACAGTAAGCTACGTTAGAGTAAGTGAGCTATACCTGAGGGATGTAAAAAACATCAACCTATGAAGGATGCACTCTAGCCAAAAAGTCTATTTAAAATGCACGGGGATAGAAAAAAAGGAAAAACAAAGAAAAATTTTAGTTTGTTGCAATTATCAATGATGAAAATTAACTGGACTTATTGGACCAAGTTCTGAAAGCAGAATTTTGCATGGACTGTAAAAAATATCTTCTTAATGAAATTTACTTGTAGGTATTTTAGGGCAATGAGTAGGATGGCCAACTTGAACTGCTGGGGTTAGGATGGGTGCAGAATGGCTGAGATGAGAAGAATGCCTGATCCTGAGTTCTCCCTGGACCAGAATCCTCAATCCCTAAACTGACTGGTCTTGGCCTCCTTCCTAGCAGCCGAGGTCATCTACTCTCCCAGGTGTCTTGATGACCGTTTCCTCGTGCCCCCCCAAAAAAACCTGACACCCATTCCTAATGTTTACTGGCTCCTCTCTCAGAGGTGACCTAGCTGCCAAGAGACCTGCCTTTCTCCTCCAAAACCCCACAAAAGTAAGCAAGGTATAATGGAGAAAAAGGATCTCAATGCTGAATGTCTTCTCTAACCTAGCATATTCCCTGGGCTGGAGGACAACCTTTCCATACTGTACATGCTAGGAACAAAGGAGTCTGTTTTAGTAAAATCAGGCATTTTCACCTGCACCTTAAACAGGTAATACATGTTTACATCATATAAGCTCTGGAGGCTCCGGAGCACAAAGCAGCATACTGAGGAAAGTGAAGTGAATGAGGTCTTCCTCCCCAGAGACAACCATTATCATCTCTGCTTACTATTACTAAGCAATATTGTTTTTACTGTAAACAGAAAAGTTCAACCACATTCTGATTTAGGGCTTATTTCTTTGGGGAGATGTGCTGATCTGAGAACCAGACATCTATGTACAATGTGTCTGTGAGAAAACACATCATGAGTGTTAAAGAACACCATCTTTTCAGAAGACTGTAGACACAGCTGGGATAAATACAGCATGGTATCTTGAACAGAAAGAACATGGTTTTTAGCACTTCACAGATCAATGTCCATATACAAGATCTGAACTAAACATTTTGAAAATATTATTTAACTTGTGAATTTTTAGCTTGCTTTCCCCCCCCCAAAAAAAAACAAAACAGGAAGTGGTTCTTATGGTGATTAAGTTTAAAATATGTTTATTGCTTTATAATTTTTCCATGCCTTTAATTGTGTTTTCAGCTTTCTTTGTGGAATGTTTTCATTTAACTAAATGTGGAATATTTTTGTTTTAATATATACCCAAAGGAAAAAAATGAATGAGAATACCAAACTTTCTATAAAAGGCTACATTTTCAGAATCAAAGACTCTAACAATTACCTTTTGTTCTTCTCTTTCTGTTGCATGGTGACACTTCTCAATTCTCCAATGCCTCAAGAAATCTCGAAGATATCCAAAGAGGGTAAGTACACCATACCCCACATAAGTAAGCACTGCAACCAGCATTGGTGTCTCCTCAAAAGCTTCATTAAATGGTCTTTTATATAATCCTCCATTTTGTGAAACATGATGGATCTACAAGGGAAGTTAAAAATGTTTATTTCATTCATGTTAAGATAAAGATTGCTGCTAAAATTCTATATCCTGAGAGATTTGCATAATCCTTCAGAATTGTATAAATAATCGTTTTTTAAAAATACTACTATAATCTAAGCAGGGCATACATTTTTTCAGCAGAAATAATTTATAAGTTATAAATACTTCAGATGAACAGTAAAGAAAGACAAGGGGAGGAGGAGAGAGAGGAATCAGAGGAAGGGAGGGAGGAGCACAGGGGACTGAGGCGATGATGCACAGGTGCCTTGGGGAGGGAAACTCTATGGGGACTACACTGGGGGGGGGGAAAGCAAATATTGTTTAAAAATGAACAATGATGTAAAAATAAATAAATAAATAAAATGAAAAAGAAAGAAAGAAAAACAGGGAGAAGGGGCTGCCTAAAAACAATGTCTTATATCTAAAGTAATTTGGTCTCATGAAAAAATCGTAAAGAGCCAGAGTGGACTGGATAATATGCCAATTTCAGACAGGTGAAAGTCTGAGAACCCCAAAGATGTGCAAAATTTTTATCTTCATAAGATCTATTTTTAATGTTTTGAGAAATCTCTATATACTGTTTCCCATAGCTGACCAGTTTATTCCCACAAACAGTGCAGGATGATTCCTTTTACTCCACACTTTCACCATGTGTTAATATTATTACTCAAAAGAAAATATAATGAATAACAAAGTATGTCTAATTAAACTATTTTTTTCTTTGAATGCAAAGGAAGATTTTCTTTCTCAGACCAGACTAAAGCATATTACCACACAATACTTTACAGGACAAGGGGAGGGTAAAAATCAAATAAGCCATTTTGTTATCTATTGTGCCTGTGGGTGCCAACCATATTTATTAAGCATTTGAAAGGCCACTTCTAACCAAAGCAATAATGAAAGACATAATCAAAAGATGAGTCATAAACATAATATATATTAACACTGTCTGGCAGGAAACAGAAATTGGAGTAGGATGAAATAATGTTCATCATCATTTACCATTAGGGAAATGCAAATCAAAATCACAATGGGATACCAGCTCACACCAATAAGAATGGTCCCTATTAAGAACAGAGAAACAACAAGTGCTGGTGAGGGTACGGAGGAAAAGGAACGCTTAACACTGTTTGTGGGAATGTAGCCTGTGCAGCCCCTAAGGAAAGCAGTGTAGAGGTTCCTCAAAAGTATAAAAACGTATCTGCCATACACCCCAGCAATTCCACTCCTAGCTATCTACTCCAAGAATACAAAAACACTACTTCAAAAGGGATCCTGCAGCACTACTTACAATAGCAAGATATGGAATCAACCTAAGTGCCAAAAACCAGATGACTGGGTAAGATGTGGTATATGTACACAATGGAATACTATTCAGTGATCAAAAAATAAACAAACTCATGCCATTTGCAGCAACATGGATGCAGCTGGAAAGGATTATGCTGAGGGAAATAAGCCAGGAAAAGAAAGATTAAACACTGACTGGATGGAGTCACTTCTATGTGGAATACAGAGAAACCAAACTAAGAGTCAAAGACAAACATTAAAACCAACCCTTGAAAGTGGGCCACTGAGCGGAGGCATGGGGTGGAGGGGAGTGCAATAGACTATGAGCAGGACTATGGGTGCTTTGGTGGTGGGAGAGCCATGGTGTCCACATCTGAGGGGAGAAATTCTATACTATCAAAGGATTAACAAGGATATGAAACAATGGTACTTCATTAAAAAAAATTAAAGACCAAAAAAAGACAATGTGGAATATAGACAATGGACACTACTCGGCTACTAAAAAGATGAAACAATACCTTTGGATCAGAAGAATGGACCTTGAAGTGAAAAATGTACTGAGCAGCAGAGGAAACAATGTGGAGGGAGGAGGGGATAGGGGAAGGAAGGGGACAGTGCACTGGCATGGGAGGTTTGGTGGTGGGTGAGAAGCATGTACACATACGGAGGAGTAAAAATTTAGCCCCAAAGTTATATAGACATGTAAATGGTGAGCAAATTTAATTAAAGTAAAATGAAATGAAAAAAAAAAAAAAGAAATTAGAGTTGGGAATGGACTGGGGGAAAGAAGCATACTTCTTACTTATAACCCTCTTAACCAATCTGGTTGGTATGCACGTTACTAAATTTTAGTTATTTTATTTTTAAAACATTCGAACTGCATTTTCTCACTGATTTATTCATTATTTGGCCCAAAACAGAGCTATTGAAAAAAGAAACATATATCTATCATCATAATCTTAGGTTATCTCAAAGATAACCTAATGATGATGAGATAATTCTCATCTACTTGTTAGTTCTCAAATAGATTTTACATGAGGAGGAGGCACAAATCCACATTTCAATCCCCAATTTTTTCCCAGAACTACAAATTTACATTTCCACTTGCTTCCTATAAGCTCCACTTAGACATCAACAAGTTTGAAAACTGTTCACCATCCTAACTCCTCCCTCAATTAAAACCTGATCCTCTGCTGCACTACACACATGGTTGACAGCATCAACATCCAGTCTACCCAGTCTCCCAAGTTTGGCATCATTTTTTAGCTCCACCTTATTTTCTGTCTTCCATGGAGAACTAGTAGTGAATTTTTATGCCATAGTTCAAGACTGTGTGATGGAGTACCAGGGAATTTTCAGGAGTCTGGAAATATACCTATCTTGAGAGAGGTATTGGACACACGGTATATACACAGGTAAAAATTGTGTGGCTGAACACCTAGCATATTTTCCACACCTGACTCTAGGTACGCTATTCCTTAATAAAAAAAGCAAACAAAACTTCAACACTTACTTCAGTGGACTACAGCAACATCCTCCATCGCCTTTGGTCTCCCTGACACCAAGACCCTCCCACCCCACACTAATTAATTATCTTTCTAGTCACACCAAACTTCCTGACAGACTTTCTGAAAAGAATCTTCTCCAGAGGAATAAAAAACATCCAACTGTAAATAAGTATACAATATCCAAAATTGAAACAGAACAGAAATATAATCATATAAGTTAGAAAAATGGAGGTAAACACCAAACACCAAAAAAATCTTCTAAAATGAAAAGCAGTTGCCTGAGAAGGTGAAGAAAAGGGCTAGCAGAAAGCGGGATGCTGCTGTGTACTTGCTCAGAAGCCTTGTGGAACTATCTCATGCTTACAACCATGGACTGCAACACATGAAGAGGCTGTCAGGTATCTTAGATACCACAGGTCAGGATCCTGCACCTGTTTGGCTATGATTGTGCACTTTCAATACAATGAAAGAATGACTCCAAAGGTGATTCAGAGATTTTCTGGGCTCCCTTCTCAATGCCAAAGATGGAGGGAACCATCCCCTCAAGATGCAACAGCTGCCTGGAGCATAAGGTGGGGTTAGAGGGACATGACCCCACCACAGTGGATCTAGAGCACAAAGCATCAAGCCAAAGAGAATTAATCTCTTTTTAATAATTTATTTATTTATATATATTTACATCATTGTTCATTTTTGTACAAAGTTTGCTTTCTCCTGTCAGGTGCAGTCCCCGTAAAATTCCTACCACTAAGTCACCCATGCACCATCACCATAGTCCCTTGTGTTCTTCTCTCCCTTTTTTTTTTTTTAAATTTTTTTTTTAATAGAGGCATGTTTTATTTATTTATTTGTTCATTTTGTTTATACATGCACTGGGCACAGTCAGAAGCGCGGGAGGGTGAGAGAATTCACCAGAGCAGGGAGCAGAGCAGGCAGAAGGACCGAAGTACACTGCTGAGGGGAGCAGCGGGCGGCAGGAGAGGTCTGCGCGCCATGTGGGACCCTCCTCCGGCGGCTGGGGAGCAGCCGGGGATCAAACCGGCGCCGCAGAGGCCGCGGGCAGCTTCGCAACCCAGTGCTCAACCGCTGCGCCACCGGGGTTCTCTCCCCTGTTTTGATCCTCTCCCCCCCGCAGAATGTCTCTGATTTATAGTTGCCTGTTAATTTTGTTTTTTTATTATTTTTTTCCCTGATGCTTTGTCTCGCCTATATTCCTGCTATAAGTGAAACCATCCAATACTTTTCTTTTTCCTTCTGGCTTATTTCACTGAGCATAATCCCTTCTGGCTCCATCCATGTTGCTCTGAATTACATGAGTTTATCTTTTTTGATTGCTAAAAAGTATTCCATGTAGTGTATATATACCATAACTCCTTGATCCAGTCATCTATTTTTGGGCATTTGGGTTGTTTCCATGTCTTACCTATTATAAATAGTGCTGCAATAAACATTGGGGTACAGGTATTTTTTTGAATCAATGTTTTTGTGTCCTTCGGGCAGATCCCTAGGAGTGGAATTGCTGGGTCATAAGGTAGCTCCACTTTTAGTAGTTTGAGGAACCTCAAAGCAGCTTTCCATAGTGGCTGGACCAGTTTGCATTCCCACCAGCAGTTTAGGAGAGTTCCTTTCTCTCCACATCCTCACCAACACTTGTTGTTGCTAGCTTTTGTAATATGTACCATTTTCATTGGTGTAAGGTGGTACCTCATTGTGAATGAAGCTTTTGATTTGCATTTCTCTGTATAAGAAAACTTTTTGAACATGTTTTCATATAATTGTTGGCCATTTGCATTTCCAAAGAGGATTATTCTTGAGGATTAACATCTCACGAAATTTGCTTTGCTAAATTTTGAGCTTAGTTCAGACCCACTCTTCTTTCTCATTTCTCACGTATGGCATGGTGGAAAGGAATTCTGTCTCAGGAACTGTAGACTCACTCATACCAGATTTTGATATTTAGATAAGACTTTGAATTTCAGAATAGATGCTAGTGGAGGCTACTAGAATACAACACACAGTTTTGGATGAAAGAAGGACATGAATGGTGGAGGGGGGCAGCACATGGGCAGAATATTATAGCTGGAAGTTTGCCTTCCCCCAGCAAATTCCTATGTCGAAGTTCTATCCCTCTTTTCTCCCCCAATGTGGTGGGATTTGGAGGTGGAACCTTTGGGAGGTAATCAG